CGCATGCCCGTGGGATCCTGGCACACGCTGCATACCTTTGCCACACACAGTGATCCCCGTGGTGAGCTGCAGGAGACAGGCCATGCACACGTCCCTTGGAGGAGGCTCTGAAGACTCCATTAGCCTGTGTGCTTTCCTGGTGAGCTGACAGGACTTAAACAATACATCTGTTTTCTCTGGGATATAGAACTAGATATTAAATGATACAGAAAGTACCAAACAGCATCTCCCCTTGGGGTGCTGTTTTCCAGAGACAAATGACACCAAAAAAGTCACCCAGGAAGGAGGCAAAAATGAGCCAAGAATAAGAACACCATGGCTCCTGGAGCTGCCCAGGGCTCCCCATCATGGGGACACAACGCAGCCCGAAAAGAAGGGTCTGCTCCGTGACAGACTCCAAGACCTGTGGAGGCGTAAGGCCAAGGAATAAATATTTCTCTCATCACTATTTGCAGGCATGATGTTGTGTGTTGGAAATATGTAAAAGCTTTACTCTTTGTATGGTGCATGTTAACACTCTGCTGGGATCTGCAGTGGGGCTGCAGGGCGGGGAGGGCTGATGGAATTCCATCCCTCTGTGCTGTGCCTGTGTGCTGGGTCAGGGAGGAGGGGGTGGGGCCCTGCTGAAGGTAATTGAAAGCTTTCTTTATTGGAGTATCCTCTTACACAGCTTTCTGTCAGGATAAATCATATCTGTGTGGTCCACCAAGCCCCGAGGATTCCTGGCAATCTATACTTCTGTTGCCATTTTGAAGCTTTTTCCTGTGTGAGGAAAAGTCTCCTAGGAAGAAGGGAAGAAGGGAGTCCTATGTGGGTTTTTGAAGAGTGGGAAAATCCAGAAACAGCATGGGTCACGGGTGTTTAGGACACGGGGCCTGTAAGTGTGCTCAGCCTTCATGGTCTTTCTTTGGCCTTATTTTTTTCTTTTTAGCTCTGCAGCCCACGTCTGTGAACCCACAGGCTTCACGGACTAATGAAAGCTACTCTGTGGACACTGATACCGTAAACACTTGCAGTGTTTGCAGGAGCTGCCATGAGCTGTGGCAACCTGTGTAATGGGTGTGCTTGTTGATTGTCACCTTCTGCCAGATCCCCCACCTACAGGAGGGTCCGGCCTTTCTCTTCCTGTCTGAGGACAGCCCACTGAGGATGGAGAAGCTCTACATCAGCCTCTAACGATCACAGGTTTTTTTGGAAACATTAAACCTTAATTTGGGACACACTGTGCTGGGACTATGGCATCTCCAATAAATCAAAACAACTGTAAGAACTTCTGGTGTGTGGTTTTGTTTTCTTTGCTTTTTGGTTTGGTGTTAGATCCCAGTGAGTCACTGAGATGAGTATGTCTGTGTCTGTGTGCACACGTGCACACACATCACATATTTCTGGCTAAAGAGGCCATAGTCCTCATCCTTCTTGACGGCCTTGTGATTGCAAAAGGTTTAAGAACTGAGCCTCTCAAGGCCAGGCAGCACATTGTGAACTCAGAGCCTTTTGCCCTGGCAGCTTGCAGGGGCTTCTGTGCCACCAATGAGAGATTTGCAGGGCTGACCCCGACCCAGGTAAGAGTCATGTCAGTCTGTAGCAGCCCTTGCTGGTGGTGTAGATCTGAAGAGTTCTGTGATCCTCTACATTTCAATGTCGTCTGTAAAATCCTGCTTTCCAGACCCCCACCCCTGTGAGACTGAATTTGTGCATGTAGGACATTAGCATGCTCCAGCTTTTTACTGAGCATTTCAGAAAGTGCCTGGAATCTGTGGTCATGAGCCATGTCATAAGGCATTTTAAAAAGGAAGGAGAAATTTGTTTATGGGACTGAATCAAGCACTAAGACCATTTCAAATTCTCCATCCTCTGAATACATGCAAACAAAGACACACAGCCTCTGAGCTGGGCTCCGTGCTCAGCTGTCACCTGTTCTCCAAAGCGGCCCTTAACCTGCCCCACACTTCTGACTTCCCCCAGACACAGTGTCTCCCAGCTTTCCAGGCACTCAGGTCTCTGGCCATGCAGAACCAGCACTAGGAACTTGGATTGGATACGGGCCATAGGTCTACCCATGGGTAGAAGCAATGAACTACAGAAAGATGCAGGCCACCAGCATGCGGGCAGAGAAGAGGGTGGAGCCTTCAGAGATTCTGGGAGGCTGACCAGGCTCTGGTCCAGCATTGGAAATGGTCCAAAAGATGACAACACAGCAGTTGCGTAGGAGCCCCCTGTGGACTGCAAGGACTCCTCTCCTTACGGTGAGTAGAAACCTGTAGAATGTATTAGCGAACCAAACGGCTGACAGGTAACTGGCTATGTGGATGGAGGTGGGCAGGGCTGGCTCCGACTCAGTCTCTACCGACTCCCTGATGACAGATGAGGTAACTTTTAGAAGTCACTGAAAAACAAAGGGACATTTGATTAAATATGAATTTCACATATTGAGGTAAGAAAATGGCTAAAAGGTTTCTGGCTAGACATCAACCTAGAAGCGAGAAATAATGAATCATAAGAATGTCTGCTGCATGAATAAAATCACTTTGGAACTTTAATATCATAGAATTAATTTTAAGAAGGAAGCCAATATCAATGGGTTAAAGGGCAAAGTCATCTGAGAAATGTAAGTGTAGCCACAGTTCTGGGCAATTTGGGTCGCTTTTCTTTGTTGTAACTTTCACCAGTGGCAGAAATATAAATTCTGGGTCACTAAGCCACATTTAGGATGGTCCCTGCATCATTCATTAATTTAAAATAAAACCACATTTCCAAGAAAGGGAGACTTTCTTCTGTCCTGTAGGAAGCTGATTACTTCCTGTCTTAACTATATACGAGCTGAGTTGACATACAGTCCTTTCTGATGTGGCATCTGGCTTTCACACCAGCAATGACTTCTTCCAAACTTGAATATGACAGACATAACCAGTTCCTAATGTTTTAAATAAATGTGTTATTTTTCTTTGTGAAATGAAAACAGATTATCTCTCTAAACATCACTTCTCGGACCTTTGAAAAACTAAAAACTCAAATTTGGCCTTCAGTCCACAAGAGATTCTCCAGATCTAAAAGGGTCTTTGAAGTCTCCAGCCCAGCTCCATCTGTCAGTGTCCTGAATATACTGGTCGCATTGGTCTTTCTGGAATTGCCAGAGGACTCTGGGTTGAAACATGACAGATGTGGTGAGAGTCTTGGTCCTCAGTCACTGAGGTGAGGTGATCTTCTCTGCCACCTGTGTCTTCAGAGGAGGAAAATAGGTTTACCAGAACTGGGCAATTGGATATCTGGACTCCGTTCTCGGTTCTGTGGTTCAGGAGACTTGATCAGGACTGGGTTGCTCTTTGCTTTGGTCTCTCATCTGTAAAATGGGGATAACCAAGTCTACCCATGCATGCAGCTCTTGCGGTGGATGAGATACAAATTCTGGTCCTTTAAATTTTATAGAACAGAGTGCATTACCAAGTATTTCAGCTAATGATTTGCACTGCTCTCAAGAAGCACAAGAGAAAAAGAAAATCTTTAGTAGCAGATACTTTTTAAAGGAGTTATGTTAGCTTTGAATTTAAAATTTCTTCAGATAATCTTAGAGTTATTGGAATGCAGCTGTACTGTTACTTTAATTCTATTAAGTCTCACTAATAGTGGTCTTTACTTTCTCAGTCATTGGCAATTGTTTGCTCACCTGTGTCTCTAGACCCCAGAGCAGTCCCTGAAGAATTTAGAATTTCCTTCTAAATCCTCAAACCAAGAGGAATGTGTTTAAGGGCTTAATCTACTCTTTGGGCTTTGGAATTTGAAGAAGACTTAATGTCACCCCTCTGCTGGGAAAGAGTCATTTCTTCCACCTTTCCCTGGCTCCAGGGGCACAGAGCTTCTACTAATGAGGGGCACCCTCTCTCCCCAGTGCAGACCAAGTGTGCTAGCCTGCAGGACTTTCTGATACAGCCCTCCTGCTCAGACACCTTGTCAAAGCCACAGACCTAACTTCAGATGGGAGTGGGCTGTGGATTCTCTGTTTTGCTCTTTCCCTAGAGCTCCTGACAAGTCAGTTGATTCATTGTTCTTGAGAGCCTCCACTGTTGGCTTTGCTTGTGAGACAGAACTAAGGCCTTTTCCTGTGAGGTTACAAGCCAAGGCTAAACTATCTCAGCAACGCCATCTGCGCAGGAACCCGCTAGCTTCTTGCACAGAACCCGTGTGTGCAAAATTCTCTAGGTTTCCTTTGCAGTCGCCCAGGATAAGTTAACAACCCCCACAACCCACAACCCCAACCTGCACCAACACCTGGTGCAAATGTTCAAAGGCAACCACATCCGTGTCAGAGTGCCAGGCTGCATTCCTGCTGCTTGCACTGGGTCAAGAGTATTGTGCAAATCAGAGCCCTCCCTAAGCAGAGCATCCAGAAATCCCAGGAGGAGACTAACTGGCAAAACGATGTTGGTCTGGAGGTCCTATTCCAGGAAGGTATGATGTTCCCAGTTGCCTAGCTGGAGACCAGGAATCTGTTGGCAGAGCTGATCCAAGGGCCTCATTCTGGTCTGTTGGTCTTTTCCAGGTGTTCCAAGAGCCCGGAGGTCAAGAATAGCCAAAGGGCTTTTGGGATTTCCAGAGCTCCATTGTAATCTTAGTGGGCGAATAAATACCACGTGGCCAGGGCAGACAGACTGTGCCCTGGGACAGGAGGGTTGTGCACTGGAACAGAAAGGGTTGCGCCCTGGGACAAAAGGGTTGCGTCTGTCCCGAGCTCTTCTGCCTGCGTGCGTGCATGTGTGAGTGTGGGTGCACCGCATATTTGTAGGCGTGCGTGGGCAGGGAGTGTGCGTGCACAGGGAGCAGGCACGCGTAAGCTCTAGCGCGGAACAGCTCAGCCTTAGGGTCCCTCTCCACCTTCCCACCGCAGACCCGCGCCCAGGGCGGGCACCAGAGCTAGCGGGTTCCTGGGCGGGCGCGGGGAGGTGGGGCTGGAGGAGGAGAGGGGAGAGGGCGGGAGGAGGCGGGAGAAGCGGTGGGAGGATCCGGGAAGTTCGGAGGGTATTTGACAGGAGCAAAGCGAGGGAAGCCGCACGGGAGCCGAGGACCGCTGCGCGCCAGCGGACTGGAGAGGCAGAGGACCGCGGAGCAGCCCCTGCACGTCGGCTTGCGCGCTCGCCCGCTTTCCCGACCCGGTGCCCGGGCGCAGGGCGCAGGGCGCAGGGCGCGGCCGCTCCCGTCCCGGGTCCCCACGGCGGCCACCATGCAGCTGCCCCAACTCTGCTGGCTGCCGCTGCTCACCGCGCTGCTGCCCCCGACGCCCGCGCAGAAGATCTCGGCGCTCACGGTAAGCCGGGCCGCCGCCACCCGCCGAGTGCCCATGTCCCTTGCAGAGCAGGTGGCCCTTGGGGAGCGAAGGCGGCCCCCGCGCGGTGAGCGTCAGGACGACGCTCCGGGCTGTCAGGGGGTCCCCAGGGTCCTGTAGCCAAGGCCGGAACCGGGGCGTGCGGGGCGTCCTGAGGCGCCCACCCGGTGGCCCGGGCCGCGGGGAGCAGAGGGCGAGACGAAGGCACTGCGCTCTGCGCAGGGAAGAGCGAGCAGGCTGGAACCCATCTGCCCGCAGAGGCCGGCCTGGGGCGCCAGGCTGAGGGGTTCCTGCGGGGTTCCTGCAAGTGCCTCCCAGCTGTGGAGACCCCCTGGGGCGTGCAGTGGCTGCGACTGGTGAAACTGCCCCAAGAGTGGCCACACTGCTCTTCGCGGCCTTGGCACTGCCTCGCCCTCCCTGTGGCCTCTCTTAGTGGCAGCTCTGGCCAGGCGAATGGCAGCAGCGCCTGGCTCAGGACCTCTTGAGCCTGCTGGGCTCGCGAACCCATAATTAATGCAATCTGCAGAAAGGAAAACATTCCACTTCGATGTGTTTTTGAACAAGTGCTTGAGAAAACACGAAGGTAGCAAGAACACGTTGGCAGAAAGGGGCTTGCAAGTGGCCCGTGGGCTCGACTCACAGGAGGTGTTTACCGGAGCAAAACGGAGGCTAAAAAGCTGTGGTCCAGTGGGTTCTGCTTTTCCGCAAAAACAAAGTAGATCTCTCTCTCTCTCTCTCTCTCTCTCTCTCTCTCTCTCTCTCTCTCTCTGTCCTCCCTTCCTTACCCCCCTCCTTCCTCCCCCTTTATCTCCCTCCTTCCTCTCTTCTTCACTTTGGTCTTCTTCCCTTTCCTCTCTCTCACTCTCGCTCTTTACCCTTCTCCCCACCCAGCAGTGTAAGGGAAAGAGTTAGTGAGTTCGGTGGTTCATACCTAAAATTCTTCTGGAGCAGCCCTGGGCCCCTGCCTTGTGTCTTACAAATGACTGGTAGATTAGACTCCCACGGGGAGCTGAAGGGAGCTGTCACACCCTCACTCTTGCCCTGTGACTCCCTGTGCCCCGGGGGCCAGCAGGCATATTTACTATGTTTCATATGCATACATACCTGTATCAGTACAATGCACAGACACACACACTTACACATAAAGAGGACACTCCCCCCCCCCCTACACATGCTTAAAGGACAGTGAAGGCAGTAGGGGAACTGAGGCCATTTCTCCCAGGAGAGAGCTGTCCAGAGGAAACCTGCCACAGTATTCCAAAAGTGCAGGGAGGGGGCTGACTGTCCTCTGCCCCTGGCCTGTTGGTTAGTGATGAGAACAGCATAAAACTCAGGTGTGCTCCTCTGCTTCTGGAAACCGTTTGCGTTGACACATCTCATCCTCTGCCTCTTTAGCTGACTCCAAAGATTTCCTGGGTGCAGTGACGTTAGCCACATATGGGGTCCTGAACTGATCTTAGACCATATCAGAAGCACCCCCTTTGCCGAGCTCCTCAAGTACTCCTTGCCTTCAGTCACAGTTGCACATGAAATGCTGCTTCTTTTTCATCCGAGAGAAATACTAAAGCTCTAAGATACTTTGCACACATCTTCTCACCCCACCCCAAGTTCTACAAGACTTGAGTTGTAAAGTGCTCCACACAAAGCTGAGACTAGATTGATTGATTGGTCACTGGGAAAGTTTAGAGGTTCTGGATTGTTTCTGTGGTGCTAATCTCCTTGCAAATCAACTGTTTTTGGAAAAGCTCTGGATTCCTGAGGCCATCCCTTGCTAGCCTCTTCTCTGTTAGGTTTATAGCCTGTATTAATAAATCTTAGAGGTGGTATTGGGCTCCAAAAGCCTGTGGTCAGGGTTCATTGTTTTACTGAATGTATGGCCTTAGGCAAGTTACTTACCATTCCTAATCTTCTGGTTCCTTATCTAGTGGGGATAAAGCAGTAATACCTATTTAGCACATTATGAGAATTAGTTAAGGCATTTAATAGGCTGTCTACATGTTTGTTCTTCAATCCATAACTTTTGCTGATACCCCTGCGGCTGATTTCACCATAATTCCTAATTCCATATCACCATGTCATGTGAGTGTGTTGGCTATAGGCTCTTTTTTTGGGAGCACATCATATACATAAGCTCAACTGAGGTAAATCATGCAAATGGGGAAAGTATTATTCTCTGCCCACTTCCACCCATGTCTTTAGTTAAAAACAGGAAACCCCATGTGCCTTTTTGGGGATCTATAGCTTGCTGTACATGGTTTCCCAAGACTGTATGAGTGTGTTCACTCTTGCAAGATAAATGTACTTGCTTTGTGGGTGCAGTGTTGCTAGAGCAAATCCTTGGGCTAGTCCCCCAAGTTTTGTACACTTAAGACAGAGAATCTGCATTGCTTGATATTATCTTTTTTTTTTTTTTTTTGCCCACCAAAGTCTTGCTTTAAAAATGGCGCCCTGTGGTGATTCTGATGTGTTGTTTCCTGTTGTTTTTCTAATGACTTTGCATAACCTCCTCATTATCTCTCATATCTTAGTGCTATTTCCAGTCAGCAGTTGGTATTTTTAAATGCATTAAATGTACCTGAATTTGAATCTATTTATATTTCTTCCTTGGAAAAGTAGGTGCATTCCAAGTCTGGACCATATGCATTTTGCTTTTTATCTCAGTCAATGACTAAGCCTAGGAATGATTTCTTGCATGAATTGCTGTACTGCTTGTGGTATAACATTTTGGTTACATGTGATGATATCCTCCAGGGAGTAAAGAGATTTGAGTACAATTCTCCCATGCGGTCATTAGATGTAGTTATGTAAATGTTGACAGACCAATCAATGAATCCATATCCATGTTTTCTTTAGGAACAAAGAAGGTGATGTAACCCCTTTCCCACTAGTTTTAGAATGAGCACCAACAGCTTCACTGCAGAGTTGTCTAGGTGGCATTTTGCGCATGCTAAGAATCCCAAAGTTAAAAACCCAGCCCCTTGGACTTTTTACATTGCTGGTGGACTCCACTCTTCCAAGTTCCTATCCAGGAGGTCTTCACAGGCACTCTGCTCTCTAAGCCCAAGAGATGGAGGAACTGGAGCCCACTCTGCCCTGACAGTTATTGGTCTATTGGTTGCTAAATTCAGTCTGTAATTATTATTTTTCCTGCAGAAGGAGTTGCTCATGTTACTTTGAGTGTCACCTTCAGGAACTGACAGTTCTGCCCTGCTCTTTGTTGTGTAGACTGTGGAGGACCTGCATGGGAACCAGTAGCTCCCCAAGGTTCTGTGGGCAACCTCTGCTGCTGGTCTGGGAGAAGTATATAGCAACAGAGTTGAAACAGTTTTTCTTGCTCTGTATTTTCTTGAAAAAAGAAGGCAAAGCATGGGAAAACAGTATTTGCCCATATGTAAATTTAGAAGACTATTCGCTGTTAGCTAGTCCACGGGAGCATCCTATACCAGTCTTCTTGAAATATCAAAAACAAAAATGCCTTCTCAGTACTGAGCAGTTCTTGGCTGGACTGTGCACTTCATCCCCATTCTAATGCTGCTGTCACCTAGTGCTGGATATGTAAGGGGTGACTGTTTCCCCCCTTTCCCCTGGAAATGCTTTGATGACATTTGATGCTCTGGGAAGGCTGCATCCAGAGGTGGTACCAGGGGAAAAACTAAACACAATCAACATTTTTCAATTTAGAAACTCATTTATATGACGCCTCAAAACACAGACATTTGGAAAAATGACTTCAATTTTGATTTGGAATCAACATCATCATAAGTAAAACTATAAACAATGTCAAGCCCAAGAAGATTGCTGAGCAGGAGGCATGGATGGATGTGATACAGGGCGGCTGGGAGGGCTCAGGACATAACAGATTTCTGGGTGGTTCTGTGTCCACATGGACCCATGTGATAGTCTACACTTTATCCAAAGACTGCTGGGGATGCTGGCAGTGGGACCTCGGATGGAGGTTCAGAGTCATGTTTCTATGTTCTTGAGTTAACAGATGTTGGATCCCACATGTGTGAGACACAAAGCGAGTGATGAATTTCCATTAGGATTTTGGAGTTAGAAAAGAAAATGCAAGATGTGATTTTCTTTTTATGTCTGACTTCATCTGTGGGAGATGGAAGCTGCCATCTTTGTGTTCCCCAAGCTGTGTGGGTGGTATTGGTTGATTAGGCTCAGGCCCATCCTCAGTCAGCGTGGGTCATTAGGCTTTGTGTATCTGTGGAGTTTATGTAGTGGGCACTGAACTGTAGCTCACCGGAGGAGGAGAAGTTTTGGAATATGTACTTATGTACTCATATTTTGTCGAATCCTAATTTCATATGGGTTAAAAGAAAGAAATTAAGAAAGGAAAAATCACAGTGTTATGTAGTGTTGTGGTACAGGCTGGAAATTAAGGAAATAGCTTGAAACAAAACACACATAAATAAAATGAAATAATATGATAACCACTACATTCTTGGAATTAAAAAATGAATTTAAGATGGAAGTTGTATATTGTAAAATCTGGCCAAATTTAATTAGGGTTGTCAACACAAGGGCTGCCTAAGGGTGACTTCTCTTTGATAAATCAGGGTTACGTCCAGATTTTTATTACGTGTGACAAGATGGCAGATTCACAAAGTGGCACTGTGGAGCAGGTGAAGTGCCAGTGCAGGGCCTGTTCTGCTTCCTCTTCCTATAGTGATGTGCTTGTTTGCGTTACTGTCTTCTCTTTTGCTTTTTTTCTCTTTTATGCTCCTACCTAGATGACAAGGAGCTTTTGTGCTTCCTCTGTCACCAGTATGCTCACCTTAATGCCATGTTTTGGACACTAGCTGGAATTCCGTGAGAGGAAAATTGTTTCATCTCCCCGAAACCCCCACCCAGCCTCTGTGGGGAGTCCACACTGGAGCTGGGGTGGGCCAGTACTTCCGTTCCCAGCATCCTTTGGGAAGTCCCAAGCCAGGGCTGATCTTTCTCGGAGGAGAGGTACGGAGGAGAGGTAC